TAGAGCAAACGAGTGAGGGTTTAGCAAGAGAGCAAAAGCCATTTACATGTTCATTATTATTGGTGTGTGTACTTGCAATGTGGCAGCGTTTGTGATGTGTCTTATACTAAGTCGCTCAACTGGAATAGTTATTTCAACTATTATGTCATTCATGACTTTATGAAATTTGAGCTTGTACACTTTGTATATTCCAGTTATTTGTTTTCCTGCTTAAAAAGCGCCCGCACAGGCACTGGGGTACAGGCAACCAGAACACACGATACAATGCATAGAAGAGTCTTTGCCACTTTTTTTTTGTTCTCTTCTCATTCTATACTCTTTCTTCTTCTCATCGTCGCTTTGCTTCCATTTTAATACTTGTATTGCTCTTATCACATTCCATAACCAACTATTTGAATACGTGAGAGCACAGTCTTCATTGCCTACGTTTCGTTCGAAGATGACGGCAGCGTCGACTACGACGACAACATTATTATTGAGCGGAAAATTACTTGAGCCACGAATTGAGATTATTTTTTCTATTTTTAGACTTAGTTCTCTCTGTCACTCTCTCTCTCTCTCTCTCTCTCTCTCTCTCTCTCTCTCTTCATGTTTATAATATGTATATACGCACGTCTTTGACCGCGCGTACAATGATTTCCATTGAGCACGAAAAAAAAGAAGAGAAACCGACGAAGAGACGAATAATGCAGATGAAACACATTGAGCGGTAGCAAAGTGAAGTGAAGTAAAAACGACACACAAGTCTTTTTGCGCTTCGGCAAATCATCTTAATAATAACATTATACCGTATTTCGGAGGCGCAAATATGAGGCTGATTTATTTAAAGACTCGCTTTATTTATGGTGCTAATCACAGGTTGGTGCCACTCAACATTCTCTAGCTGTCTCTGTCGATTGTCGTCACTTCTCTGGACTTTATCTCGACGATCTGTTCGACGCGTGTCATCATCACTCTTACGTATGTACAATTGTACATTACAATTGCGCTGTGAATGCACGTTGATGACTCTCTTTCTCTCTCCTTTTGAATATCACAACTTTCGGTTAATTAATTCTAATCAATTTTTTTTCGTTCATCTAATGAATCGCAACCGTTGCAAATGCTGACATCGTAACCAATTTGATTAATCCGGCACTATCTCTCTCTATCGGCCAATTCAATGTGAACACATTAGTCATGCAATCGACAACGAAAGTAATAAAACGTGTCAAATAAAACCATCATCCATACAAACGAGTATTGAATTCACACCTTTCCATGTTCAATCGCTGTTTTCACCTTATACTTGCATAACAAGTTGTTCGGTTTGTACATTGTACGGCCTATGGCTTGACATAGCTTCAGTTTCACTCCCATCCCAGCCATGTACCATATCCATAGAGATTTTTTTTTATCGGTTTGTGCGTCTCAGCCCATATAGTTCTAATATGAGAGTAACAGCAGCAGCAGTGTTAAGATCAAACATTCATTCATTTCGTCTGCTATTTCCACATCTAGCATGGTCATCCTGTATTCGATTCCAATTTGCGTCATTTAACCAAGCAATCTAGGTTAAGAATGTCTGCATCGATATATGTATAGAGTCAGGAAGAAAATGAATTGAATACAGAATAAAAGCAAGAAGAGAAAAAAAAAACACCAAACCTTCACACACAGATGGATGGATCATTTTAAATTCACTCGTTGTGAAAATGGCGTTGGTTTTTCAGAAGGATGATGGTGGTGGATTTTTTGTCTTCTTGCATTCCGTCCATTGTTAGTGTTGTTGTTGAAACAAATGTCATGCCACTGACTCGTAGATGAAGCTTTTCATTTCATTTCATGGCCATAAAACTTGGTGCAATTTTCATGTTTGCCATTTATTGCTTCGCTTCGCCCGAATGTGCTACATTGGAAACGGTAATTTTCTATCGCGAATGACACACACACACACCAACGAGGAAAAAAACGAACACGAAAAATGCAGAATAAACGGCAAAAAATTGTTGGCTCCAAATAGAAGTGGAAGAAAAAAATATTCGCTCCGAATATATTCATCGCGTCGCGTCGCGTCGCGTCAGACGAATTCCGAAGCAAAAAGCAGAAAACGAAACACAAGAAATATACACAAATTATGTCTAATGTATAATGCGTTTGAAAATTTAATATGACAAATCAACGACTTGTCAACACAGTCAGCCACTTGCTATTCACGCTTATTTTCAGGTTTTGTCGACTTTTCTCGGTTTTTATTGTGTTTAGTGTTGTGAATGCGGAGACAGAGAGAGATAGAGAGAAAGAAAAGATTCTTAAATGACTCATTTCAACATGTATGATTTATGAGATAATCGAGACATATATTTTCGATGAAATTATGGACGTTTGTGTCTCGCTTGTGATTTGTCGTCAATTGGTTCGTCGTTCTTGTTGTTGAGTCAAAACGTGAATTTCTCACTGTTGAAATCAAACATAAATTCTTTTTTTATCCACATAAAAATGTGTTTGGGCTTTCGTGAATTGTTTTCGTTCCGGTTTCGAACTTTTCAGCCCGAAATCAAAACGGTGAAAATATTTTTTTTGTCAAGATTGGATAGCCATCAGTCGATACGTTGACTGATTTCCTGAAATGTGTTAAATTATTCAGTGAGTCAATTTCTTATGGTCTTCATAACCAATTTCTTCTTTCTTAACGAAACAAGCCACTTTTCCAAACACAGTATCGACATGCTTTGTGTACACACTTCAGTAAAAAAAATTGAATGCAATTAAGACCTATATCCGTTCGAACGAATTGTTCAAGAGTGAATTAATTTCCTTTATTTATCGTATCGATCGCAAGACTTGTGAAAGGAGTCTCTTTCTCTCGCTCGCTCGCTCGTTCGCCGCACACAGAGTCGACTGAACACTTTGTGTTGGATTGTGTATTGGTTGTTGTTTTTATTTACTGAAATAAAAGGGCGGTAAGAATTGATTTAGCTCGAGGGTGCAACAAGGTCTCCATCGCTTTGTGCGCGACTGCTTCTCCATTTTACCATTTAATGGTTTTATTGGTGTAATGTGAGAATTTGAAAAGAGTTTTCTCGCTGCCTCTTACTTTCGCACTCTCTCTCCCTCTCTCTTTCCTCGTTCGCTCGCTGCTTTGTTCGTTCGTTTAATCGTTGGGTCGAGTCTGTCGCTTTGGCGTCTAGCAACACACCAGCCGATAATCGGCAATGTAACGTAATGTAATGTACTGGTGCCGTTGTTGCAGCCGCTGTGCCGCGGTCGTCACCGCTGCTGTTATAGCTGTTGAGGCGCATGTTTGGCGAGCTCTTATTACACGCATGTGGGCGTAATTGTTAGTATATGATTCGTACGCAATCACATCAATTAAATTTTCAAAAGTACAGGTTGTCCAGAGCGAGGGAGAGAGAGAGAGAGGGAGAGAGCGAGTGCCGAAAATTGTGCAAATAATCGTTTGTATCCTCCATAAACACACGCATCCCAACAACACACAACTAACTGACAACAAAATGGTGAGATACTGATACACAGCAACAGCAACAGCAACTCAGGCATTTTGATGTGCCCATTCCAATTTGAACTTTGAGTATTATTGTACATGAAACACATTCCGTACGTGTTCATTTTCACAGACGCGCATCAATTTATGCCAAACAAAGTGCGGTAGCCGGCGAACAATATTGGCGGCTTACACGGAGCTCGATGTCGCTGAGCATGTTTAAATAACCATAAATAATTTTCTTCTCACACTTGTTACACCGTTGGGTAGTGTGTGCGTGCTCTTTCCGTCTCTCTCAATCTCTGTTCAGTTTGCTACACGGTACAAACAATTCGTTTGTGTTTTATTAAACATCATCTATGGCAAGTGCTTGCACTCACGCTCGCCCGTGTATTCGTAATCGCCGTGTTGCCTGAATGGAAACCATGTACTCGGGCTGCAATATAGTTATTAACCGACGAAAAATTGCACTAATTAAATCTGGTGTGCAAGTTGTTCGGAATTAAAAAAAAAAATAAAAGTCGTATAATAACTCCAGCAAATACACACACACTCTCACACTATTACACAAACATACACAGTCGCAGTAGCGTTTAGATAAACAATTGACGTTTTTGCGCGGGGATATAAATTGAGAGCTACATGGAAAGTTATTAATCGCTTCGATCTTAATTGCTAAATGTGCTATCGGCAACAAGCGGATATATCGATTAATTTGCGTTTACTTTTCAGCATTTTGCACCATTAATTGCATCTTCTCTTGTAACTTTGATTCAGTAATTGCGTTTAATTATGTTCATTCACCAAATCATTAAATTATAGTTTGCCTGCAACGAAACCACTGCATATTTGGCGGCCGCTAAATATATATTTATACATGAAGTGAAGAAAGAACGCCAACAAGAAGAGAGAGAAAAAAAGAGCATGTAATCAATTTGCTTGAATTAATTGGATATGAAATGTGAGCTATGTGCGACATAACGATAGTTTTACTAAGAAAAAAGATTATATTTATGACTTGAGGCTGGCCCTCTTCCATATTACAAATAAACTACGGCTAAGGAAAAGATATAGAGAAAAAAAGCAACTAAAGACAGCTTTTGTCGTGCAATGCAGAGACAAAAAAAAATGTTGTAAACGGTCAACGGATTCGTGAAGCAACACAAAAAAGAAGAAACATCAAGTTCTATGTATCAAAAATCGAGGCAACAATAATCCATAATTAATGGTATAATCAAATCACCTCAATAATTGATAAGTGCTTCACTCTATCCATTTTGACCGATCGAAATGTGAACCGAGAATTTCAATTAGGCATATGTATATTGTATATGCTCTTCTACGTATGTGTATACACACACGCGGCATCTGGTTATAATTATGCCCATTACCTATTACTACATACTCTCTTATTTTTTTTTCCCTTTATTATTCATTTTCGTTTATGTATTCGTCTGCCTCTCATATTCATTAAATAATCAATCACTGATATCTCTATTGACTTGAATTCTCTCACCTTAATTCATTGGTTACTTCAACGGGCGAATGTGTCACACACACACTTCATAAAACAACACAAAAAGAGCAACAGCAAAGGCGCGTACGGTTGCTCGTTGTTCGTTCTATCTCTTTGCTCAACTTGTTTGCTCGATTTGCTCTCACTCGGTGCCGTGCTCGTTGTCGTTTTCTGTCGCGCGCGCGCTATTTTCACGTTCTCTCGTACACACGTTCTGCTGTTGATACAATACAATGTGTATAAATTAGTGTTTGATGACGGCCACAACAACACCGACGATTTATTGCATAATATTGTCTTGCTCGCACTCATGTACAGATACAGGGAACAAAAAATTATAAAAGCTTAAGCTCTCGGAATTCTACTTTCGTTGAAACATTACATGCAAACATTAAAAACAACGACAACGAACATGATTTTTTTTTCTATATCACATCAATAATAAAACAACTGAGAGCAGCAGCAAAAAAAAAACGACAGAACTTGTAATTGATTTCTTTGAATCGGCCGAAAAAACAACTTACTTAGAATGAACAAATTCACCGTTACACTTGGTCAATGTCTTTTTTATATTCGGTTGTTTTTTTTTTTTGATCGATTGAATTTTAGTCCACTTTTGCAATATTGTTCACAAATGTCTTTCGCAATCTTTGACTCACAAATTGGTACTTCGACGAATGGGTCGATCTTTTTTTTTCGTTATTTGATTTTTAATTTGTTCATTCGAATTCACTGATCTGGTTCTGCGTGATGATTAGTCTTTTTTGTCGTCTATTATTTATCTTGTCATTTAGTTGTCATTCAATAAATCCTAACTCAGCACCGAAACGTTTTGGTTTTTTGTTCAGCTTTGTTTTTATCTCTCTATCGTCTCGCACAAAGTATGCTGCAACAATTCAAAGCAATCGTTAACATAGATTCACTGAAACTGAAACCGATTCTATCCACATTCCTCTCTCACATCCACCGATTGATTTATTCACTGATTACTTTTGCCATACATGATTCACACATTTACCGATGGCAATTTTTCGGGTACATTGGCTTGGGGTTAAATTCCGTGCGCGAATAATGATAAATCACGAATAAAAAAAAAATACAAACAAACAGATGAACGAAGAACGGAATACGGCACTGCACACACAGATACACCGATTTAGCTCTTCTCTATCAAATTATTAACTCGCCTCACTTATCTCAATTGAATCAGGCGACAAGAGCAGCAATAACAAACCGAAATTTAAAAAAAACGAACACAAAATAATACAGGAAAAATACATGTAAAGAACGGCGTCAGTATAAGAGAAATACATAAAAAAAACTGACTCAAATAAACACATGAAATAACAAATCGAATGCAACTTAATTTGCACACATTTATTGAACGCATATATATATATATATGTATTCGTTTGCAATTTCTCGTTCAAACAACAGCAATTGACTTTTTTCTGGCTTCTGTCGTTGCAATGATGATGAAGCAATGAACTATTGTCATGTTATTTATTCTTTTCTCCGTTAACAACAACAACAACATAAATAATAAATAAATATAAAAAACTTTTTCCGTTTCGCTCTTGCTCTCCTTTAATTGTTTCGATTCACTTAGTCAGAGCGGAATTTTCGATTTAACAACATGCCAACCCCAATCAACATAATAACATATGACAGTCGATCTCTCTCTCTCTCTTTTCTCTCACTCTCTGCCTCTCTGTGTCTCATCAATGTTCAACAACCATCAAGTTTCAAATTAATTTTTCTTTATTAAATTTATTATTTTTGTTACTTTTTCTCGTTGCTTGATCTCTCTTTCGCCCGTATTCATTCCATCGAGTGCATTTTAATTTTGCAATGAACTTTCGCGTATATAATCAAAATCAGTTTAGTTTTTATTTAATCTTTTTCGATCGATTCACAATGCGGCGGCTTTTAATGACACTGAACACTGTGTTTACGTGTATGACAGACGAAATAAAAAAAAATTGATGCAGTTTATGGTTTTATTCTCATTTGCGTGAATAATTCGGTGTTTGATTTTCGATTCGGAAATTGGAATCAATCAACGACAGCCGACAGAAGAAATAAAAAAAAACAACAATAACTACAATAATTTCATTCCACTCGTCTATGCAGAGTTTATGTTAACAAATACACGCACATCGCAGCGATATATAGACAGGTCACTCACAATGTGTAGTAGACGACAGTATGGAAAATGTAGAGAAAAAAAAGGAAACGAACCAAAATAAAATAAAATGACAACAAGAGAAGAGAGAAAACCGAATTTGTGTAGTTTTATTTGTGTTTCTTGTTCTTTTTTTTTTTGTTTTGGTTTCCTTGCATATCAAACACACAATACCGATTCCACTACGGAGAGAGTGAGAATAATGACGATGATAATCTGTTAGCAAAAGCGCAGTGTAGTCAAAATGGCCACCACACTGTATGATGATAATAAAATGTGCAATTCGTATGTTTGAACACGAAAGTGTTTATTCAAGCGCTTTGCAAACCTCTTCTTCTTCGTTCGCTCGTTTGTTCGCTCTCGTTCGTTCGTCTTTTACTCCTCGTTTCGTGCTAATACCAACATATACATTCAATGGATCCATTCATCAGACAGAGACGGAACGACAGCATTTCGACGGAGTGTTCGATGAGAGAGCATCGACGTAAAAATGAGAGATTGCAAAACCAGACAGAAATGGAGTGAATCAAATGTCATGACAAGTGTTGCCCGATCTCGATCAATCCATATGCTCCCCCCGTGTTTTGGCGGTACTTAATGCGGTGGAATTGCACGAAACAAACTATTTCGCCGAATTTCAAGGCATATCCATTCTAATTGGAAAAATTAAATCGATTCAATTTCGATCTAATTGACTGGCAGTCAATCCGAAAAAGTTATTAGATTCTGTTTTCCATCTGATAAGAACTTCAAAGCTCCAGGGATATTTTCTCTAACGAATGACAGTTACATGTTTCAAATATTTTCGAACATGGGATATTTCAATACACAGATGGGGAATTTTTCTGTCGCGAAATGGCCCGTTGCATGTGTGCGTAAACTGACAGTACGAACATACCGGCTTTGAATGAAAGTACTTTTGACAGAAGCGATTGCATTTTCAAATACCACTTCTTTTTTTTAAACAGCAATCAATTTCGGGTGAAAAATTACATGAGCTGAAAATATGATTCAAATATAATCAGTCGATTCGTAATGGCAATAATTAAGCAAAATGTATGCGACCTTGCCATCACACGTCTTAACTAATTAATCACCATTATAAATGTATTAAGGTGCTTGCAACGGAAACCGGTAAGCTGTTGCACACCCCAAAAACTTCTTTTCTTTGAAATTTTTAATTGACAAACAATTTGGAACCAGTTTTTTCATTTTAAAAATAGGATTTTGTGAAAAATCAGAACGAAAAGTGTTATTAATTGAAAGAAATTCTGCTTTAAAAATCCATTAAACTCAACAGTATGTTGGTTGCGTGTTGAAGAGCTTTTTCATGAATTAAGCTCTTGAAAAGCCCATATGTGCCCATTTCGTACCGATCATATGATGGATTTTTTATTGGAAATGAAATTGAAATAGGAGTTTGCAGTTGATTCCAAGTGGAATTAAATGACAAACAAACATTTTTTTCGACTTATACTGCTTTGGTGCTCTATCATTTATATCTTTTCTGTAACTATACATACCTCTTTGAAACCGAGAGATTTTGACTTAAAATCATTACTAACCTTCAATTGCACCGCAGCAACCAAATTACTCTCACACTTAAAACTAAATGGGAAATGTGGAATCAAAGGCGAATCTTAATGTAGGTATATCAGATTTTGTTCAGCAAACATTCTTTTTATAATACTCGATTGATAAAACATCAATGAAAATAATGTTCCATTTTTTCTGACATACTTACGTTATGTATGCTCTATTTGAAACAAAAAAGTGTTCTCATAAAATACTGAAATTTCGCAAGGTGGCACTTACTTTGCTCGTATAACATTTGCTTAATATTCAAAAGAAAATATATGAATGAAGGGGAAAAAAATGTCGTGAAATAAATGTCTTTAGATAGAGAGACAGAAAAAAAGGAAATAAAACCGGAAAAAAAAGTTATTAAGTCTAATCAAAAAAAAAATCAAATTGTTCATGTCATTTCACTGCTTGTCTCGGTGTTATATGGAACTTTTCCGGCCAATTTCATTGCTTTGAGGTGCGTGAGCATATGAATAACTTCCAACAGTCAAGTTTGTACGTTTCGATGATTTGATAAATAATTTAAGTATAAGCTTTACATGATCCTTGTCGTATTTTGTGTGTGTATGTCATTCGGGAGTGTTTGGATTTGGATGTGATTGAGACATGGTGGTGTGATATTTGAGAGGATGGTATTAAAATCTGTAAATAAAGAGTAAAATGGTTAAAATGGTCGAGTCGTTGTGTTGTTGAATATTTTGTTTGAAATGGGATACAAACGGATTTTGTTGATTTGAATCTTCGCTATGCGACCGTAGCAATTCCCAATCGGTTGAAGACGGTAGCTGTTGATTTAGCCAATTCATACTGTTCTTGTAAATTAACAATGGGTCGGATCTAATCATTCGAAAGATAATGGCAAAACTATTAGCAAAAACGTTAAACACTAAGTTTTGAAAGAAAAATCGAATTGTTTCTACATTTCCATGAGAAAAAAAAAGAAAAAAAAACCAAACCGAAAAAAAATTAAAAGACCGCAACCAAACAAAAAAAAGGAAAATTAAAAGAAAAAAAAATGAAAAACTAAAAGAAAAACCCGGATTTGATTCATTTGATTAAGGAACTTGTTAACCTGTCGATTGAGCTTTGTGTTGCGCTGGAGGAAAAGTCGGGAAAATTGAGATACGCGTGAGCATCAAAACTGTTGGCCAACAATGCCGCATTCAAATTGGCTGACGCCGTACTAATATTTGTATATCCGTTACCTGTGAAGTCTGAATTTCGTGCCGATAGAACGGATGGTGATGCTGGCGGTGACGGCGAATCCAACGATATTATTGCATCTATGAACCGTTTATCAATTTTATAATTTCGATCGCCCAAACCAATTTCCACACGAAATAAAGAATTGTTTAGAGAGAAAATAAAAAAAAAAGAGAGAGAGAACAAAAATGATTAATTCCAGGTACTTACAATGAACAATAGAGGAAGAAAAAAAAATGAAGAAGAAGAAGAAAGTAAGAGAAATTGAAAGTGAGAAATAGATGAAGAACAAATGCAAATATATAAACACACAAACGTCTCCTGATTTCAAAACAAAATATGACTTGGTGAGTGTAAACAGAGAGACAAAATGCATCGGTTTGAAGCAGCACAAAAAAATTGTACAAATGAATGAACAACGTTCTTTTCTAAGACTGCATCGAAGTACCGACGAATTGATTCGAATGATTATTATATTTAAACAAAACAAAAAAAAAACGATTCGCATTGGAAAGAAACAAGACCATGGTTAGCCAGAGGCATACACCATTAGCATTATGTGTATCAATATATTTCTTATTTAGTAACAATTTTCCCATTTACAATTTTCGAATACGCTTCAATTCGACTTTGAATTCCATTGAGAGAAAAAAAAAACAAAAATTAAAAATTAAGAGAAAGCATTATGTCACAACAAACAAAAATTAAATGCGCCCATCGAAAATAAATTTAATATGTGTGAGTGTGTGTGTGTGTGTGATGTGAAGGAAACCATTTCAACAAAAGCCACAAATTCATACGAAATTACATGTTTGTTTCGATTGAAATAAAATAAATAGAAATAAATGTGTGTATATAGTGTAAAGGGACATACTTCGAAGGTAATAAAAACAGCGACGTCGACGAGTCGCGGATATTCTTTTTCGTTTCGGAAATCCGCTTTTTAGTTGGATGAACGATGAATAACAGCACCGTATCTCTTGTAAACCAGTGGGTCTTGTAAAATAGCAACGAAGAAAAAAAAATGAACACTACATACAGAATACAAAGAGTCAAATCAAAAGTCCTGTTGATATTTTATAAATAAGATTACGATTTTATTTTCTTAAATATATTCTCTTTTGTCAACTTTATCTTCTTTTGTTTTTTTTCGTATTCAGTGTCTCATTTTGTTACTGTTGTGTCATTTCATTTTCACGGTTCCATGTTCGTTTCTTCTCTGTCTCGTATCCTGCGTTTCGTGTAAATATAATTTGATTCTCATTCATTTTGCTTTTGATCATTTTTTTTTCATTCGTAAATTTGCTTCCCGTTTCGATAGAGTCTAATTTGTTTTTTGTAATCCATTTGTGTTTGTATACAAGAGAAAACTAATGCTTCTCATTTGTCGCTTTGTAGAAATGATTCCGTACAAATTTTGTTTGTTTGTTTTTTGTCATGTATTTTACTTTTTGCTAATTATTTGTTAAAACGATTTTCGATTTTTGTTTCTTCATTTATTCATATCTGTTGCACAAAGCGTTTCTCTTTAGTTCTAAATTCTTGTGTTTTTTTTCTTCAGTTCCTTCCAACCAGTTTGAAATGCAAAACATCAATTAGAAATTACACACAATAATTAATAAATAGCTAACAAAATTTGCCTGTGTGATTTGAAATGTACAGAAATGGATTTAGCATGAACTGAATGTGTGTATGACACACACACACTGTGTGTGGGTGGGTCTCAGTCGAATTTCGATTCGAAATGTCCAAATAATAATCAATTTTCTCCTTTTCTCTCTGGTTTCACTTTTACAACAAAATATTTTGTGATACAACAATTCAGTTCAGCTATTGGACCATAGAAATTGATCCACGATATTTTTTTTTTCTCTTCTTAATTATGAACAATGGAAAGAAAAATTACTCTCAAAAAGAGAAAAAAATTAAATTAAAAAAAAAAAAAATGAAACGTTAATTATTTTTGTGTGTGTGTTTTCAATGTGAATGGTCAAAGACTGCGATGATTCTTATTTTACGAGGTGTTTCTCTTCTATAATATTATTTCAGCCATATCGACATCGTCTTCTGTTGCAATGTAAAGCGTGTGTGGTATGCGTGAATCCCATTTTCATCGGTCAATCGAATGATTCGGATCGTGTGTGTGTGTTCGTATTGTTTTTGCGTTTACATTACAATTTATAATCAATTCGGTTGTTATTTATTAGATCAAAAATGGTTGGTTTTTTCGATTTTATTGATTTTGTTTTTTTTTTCATATTTGGGTGATGATATAATGGAGAAATGGTTGTTTGTTTCAAAATTTTGTTTTGTTTCAATAGTTTTATTTCGTTAAATCGTTTTGCGAATTTGTTTTATGATTATTTAATTGGTTTGTATTGTTATAATTTTTTTCACAGTTTTCGTATGCATGTCAAAGAAAAGTAGAAAATTCAAATTCAAGTTATAACAGTTTTTCTTCAATATTAAATTGATAAATGCATTTAGGAAAGGGAAAAAAAAACTAAGAAGAAAACATTTTTAATAAAAATGTAAATTGTTTTGTTGATTGTTTTTTCTCATTTTTTGTGTGTGTGTGTGTGTTTTTGTGTGTATGTTGTTTCAACCAATGCTTGTGTGTTCTTTTGCTTCAGCGTTTTTTTTTTTTTTTTTGAAAATTATTGAATATTCAACAATAAAATGCTTATTGGAAATTTAGTGTCGGGACCTACCATTCGTAATGACAGGTGTTGCTGACGTTGCTGATGGACCTTTGTTTGAAGCACTTGAATTATTGTTCGTACTGTTGTTGTTCCCCTGACGAACTTGAACACATTCATCATCTGAATCGCTAAGCGTCAAATCCACCTAAAATTTTCGAAGAAAGAATGATTTTATTTGGCAAATTCAATTTTGATGATTCCATTGTTGTTTCGTTTTTTTTTCAAATTATTACCGAGTCTCCAGTCGTCGTTGACGATGGTTCATTTGGTTTGCTTGCCGCCGTCGTCGAACTATTATTTCCACCATTCATTGCTTGTGTCTTAATACTTGATTTCGGCGAATCGTCGGCTATGATTACTTCTGTTGAAATGAAAATGTTGGAGAAGAAACCAAAATTTGAATCGAACCCACCGTGAAAAACTTTGTGATGTAAATGAATTGAATCGTACCTATGTCATCTGAGATTACTTCCACTTTTTGTGTTGATTTCCGTGGTGTGTCTAAACAATTTGAATCGGAATTGTTATCGTGTGTTGCCCATGAACCATCTTTTAGTAGCTGAATTTCATTTGTGTCCGCCGGAAGTAGGGTTGACTGTAATACGTCTTGAAAATAGCTAGAATAGATACATACAAACACGAATGAAAAATACACAACATCAAATTCAGTCCATAAAACAATGTTCATTGCCGGTTTTGTTTATATCCTCCCATTTGGGAGAGACAAAACGGTAAGCGGCATCGATCAAAACCTACCCATCAATCACTAGTGTTTCATACAGTGCCGGTTTATCGCAAACAGGACAGTTCCACGTTGGTTTGCGCTCATTCATTTGAAGAAACAATGATGCGTCGAAACATTGCAAATGCAAACACGTCGATGCTCTGTGGAATCGGGTCGATTGGAATAACGTTATATATAAATAAAGGGTTTATTTTTGTTTGTTCGTTCGTTTATTGCAGGATTTTGATGAGAGCATTTTTTCATTTAAAAAAAAAACCACTGTGGCTAACGGTCAATTAAAATACGTTCAGGGCGAACATAATTACTCTTGTTAATTCTGGTTGATTGCTAGCTTTTTGGATTTTCTTTTGCTCTAAAATGGTTTTTTTATATTTTGTTTTTTTTTGTTGTTGTTGCTGAAAGCCCTTTAAATAATATACTTGAATGTATCTTTTTTCCATAAACCCTATTTGAAGTGTATACGATTTTAATATTGTTTGATGAACTAAAACATGTTGCTTTTATTATTTGATTACCCTACATGTAAAAGCCTTATCTTTGGCAATAGAATTCATTCGATTTTATTTTCCTTTCAAAAATGAATAATTTCAGAAATTTTCTCTTTTTGTTTCGTCTGAAAATCTATCGCCCTGCCCAAAATGCACAAACACACTCATACATATGCTCGGCCTATTTGACATTTGACGCACGCTGGCAAAGTGCAAAATTATCTGTATACAAGCATGTGGATTTAAGATTGTGTATACACCAACAAATACGCATCGCCAAAGTTTGTTTATCGAATCCAAATTGGATGCGATAACGTTTACCTTACGGTTTACATTTACGCACAGTAAACACATTCGAATATAACAATAATAAATGTTTTGTGCATGCACACAACCACATGTGCACTCATTTTTTATACTTTGCCATTTTTGGAATTGGTTCAACCATTTAAATGAATGTTGTGGCGGTTTTTTTTTGTCAATGCTTTTTTATGAACGTAATAATAAATGGTTTGCTCAAACAAATGGAACATTATTTCTATCCATGGCATTGAAAGCGGTAATATTTTTCAAGAGTGGAATAAATCAGGAATAAAACAATTGTTTACCGGCACGGTGTGGTCATTCGCATTTTTCCAAGCGGGCACATCAATGATACGCGCAATTCTGTCGTTGCAATGTCACAGTCAGCGTCTTCTTTCAGTTTTTCCTTGACTGCGAATCAAACAGAAACAAAAACCAATTCAATTGCATTATTAATTCAGTTTCAATTGATAATCAATAGCAAATTGGCCACAACATCATCCGCATTGGCAGCGACGACAACGATGGACACATCAGTGACAATTGAATACATACTCAGAGAACGTGTAAATTCTATTGGTTTGATTCCTTTTGCCTTCATCCGTTGCAGTAACTGGCTTGACGTCAACTTTTTCACCAAATAAGCCGATATGACGAAACCTCGATTGTAATCTGTACACCACGTGACATGTATATTATTCGCTACCGTCGGCGAGAGTTTAACATTTGTGGTAATGTTAACCGGTCGTGGTGGCCGCTTCGGTTCTACGCCCGGTTTATTTGTCGGAATGGGATTCTAATTGGGATTTGTTGTTTTTTTTTTGTTGGGTGGGGGAGAGAGCAAATCCAAATAAAATCAATAAAAATCCCATAAAATCATACGATCCAAAAATTGGCGTTTGGATGCAATTGCATATATTGGGTGGTTGTTTGATGTTTGCTACTTACTGGCAATGGGCATAACTTATTATTAACTTTTACAATAACATTAGGCGGAAAATAATCTTCTTGTTCACACGATGTTTCTAACAAACAAAATCGTAATTGAACCTGTATGATGTGTTCAATTTTCTGGCTATTCCGAATATCTCTGCGAAAAAATAAAGAAGAAAAAAGAAAAGGAAATCCAATTTGATTCGATCCGATGTGATAATGAAGGCGAAAAGAATGTGGTTGGAAGTGAAAACGGGTTTGTTTCGTACCTATTACTAGCTATGTCAGTGGCTTGCTGCGGCGTCAGATGGAAATAGTATGTGCCCTCTTGCATTCGTTGCGAATTCGATGTGGGTATCAGTGTTGATGGCTTGAGTAGTGTGGCCATCACATCGAAGAATGCCAACTTTTTCAAACGCACATCCGGATGTTGCGGTAAATTCTGTGTAACGCCTGGCTGTGGTGGTACTGTTGCTGTGCCGTAGCCAGTGCTGTTGACCAAACCATTTGTGTGAGGTAATGTGACGGCACCGTTGCCTGTTGCCGGTGGCACCACATTCAAATTCGGCTGATACATAATACCGTTGTTCGACAGATCAGAAACCGACGATCGGTCTATTACTTGCGGTACGGCTAATGACGGCAGCGTTTGTTGTGATGATTGTATGTGTCTCTGGTAGGATTGTCTTACCGGTGGAGCAGTTTGTTGCTGCTGCTGTTAAAAACAAACAAAAACACGAAAAAAAGGAATAAAAGAAAAAGAGACAAACAGGCATTCATTATAACGTCAAGAGAAAATATTAATAAATACAATGGTTGTTGTTGTTGTTGTTGTTGTTCTTTTTTGTGTCAGTTTATTTTCAGTCTGTTGTCAAATGTATACGTACGTTTTTGTTATTTGCGAATTGTTCAAATTGATGTAAAAATGATGTGATCTGCGGCTGAAATGAACTGTACGGTGTGCTGCTCACTTGCGATTGTATTTGGCCAAGTGGCACGGCCGGAGTGGATAAAGATGTCAGTGGATTGTTGGATTGCGATTGACTGGAAACAGGTGCCGTATAAATTTGCGGTGATGTTGAACGACTTTCAGTTGTTTCGCTACAATGACAACACAAATTCGAAAGTTAATCGCAAATCAATTCATTTCACTAAAGGCACTTCCTAGGCACCTTGATCGAATTTTTAGCAAACAAATTGATTGAATATTCGTAAAAATGTTTAAAAAAATGAAATAACATTTTTCTAGTTTTGCTTTGTTTGGTTTTGCGTACGTACGTTTGTTTCTCCAAAATGGTTTGTAGTCTCGATTTAGTCGATGAATAATTGGTTCTCAATAAATCATAGCTTCGGGCACGAAGGCTGGACAACGATGATTTGTCTGAAGAACGATAGTTCAACAATTGTCGTAGTTCTTTTTGATTAAGTGTGTCAATTGCTTTCTATATCGGTTCGAAGCAGAGAGAGAGAAAGAGAGAGAAAATGACGAACACAATGAAGATTTAACAAATTGCCGAATTCCTTACTAACTGTCAACTAACTAAAACTACACTAAACTAACTCGATGTAACTAACTGTTAAAAAAAAAGTATTCCAAAGAAAGCGACAACGAAAAAAGAAGTCACACATTTCCGCAGAAAATTTGTAATCTCTCGATTTTATGTGAACGTAATGATTTGAATGTCGATCACCCAAAAGTTGCTTCGTTTACGATATATTGTCATTGATTTAATGCTCGTGTACGGTGCGACACGAAACAACACACCGAATTGTGTATGGGAAATTGAACAATTTAGGCGCCCATTCCGATCCGAAGCAACATATATATACGACGAATCGGATGGAGATATATTTGTTGCACGAATCAAACTGTGTTAAATTCACATCGGATTTGTTGACAAGAAAAAATAGCGGTAAAATGAACTCTCAACGAAAAAAGAGAAAAAAAAAATTCGGGAAAAACTCGGCGAAATGAAGCAGCGCGAATCGAAAATAAATGAAAGTAACAATGAATAGTCGAATGGATGCATTTTGTTTTGTTATATAGTACAATGATTTAAATGTTTCTCTTCACTTTTCCATCACACACAAACAATATTTTTTAGAAACAACAACAACAACAACAAAACATCACTTGTAACAAGTGTACGGTACACACACACACTGTGGCTTCATTGAAACACACACACAAAAATAAACGACGATTTCATCAAAAAAAAACCCAAACGAAAGATAGATGCAAAACAGAAATGTAAAAAATGGTAAAATTCTTTTTAAAAATTTTGGTCGATCGTACACAAAATGCGCTTACATTGTGCGTTCGATGGTTTCGGTGATTGTGTTTTATTATTTGATTTGATTGGATTGAAAACGACCCGGAATGCAAATTAAGCTTGCGATAGTTTCTTTTTTGGCTCTAGAATTCCTCCGAATCAGCGGGATCAACGCTAAACATCGTGCACATTGTGTAAAGTTACTTCTGTTCACTAATATTTCTGCTCTTTTTTTCTGTTTCTTTTTTGGTGTCCCGATGTGTGTAAGTTTCCCTCTAGTCGAGTTCAAAACTCAAGTTACTGGCGAAACGAAGACATGAATAAAAGGAGACACATATGAAGTACAGCGGACTAAAGTATGTTTGCCAAGTTTGTAATGTCTATCGCCTGTGTATGGTGTTGTGCACACTCACTTGTACACACGACAATTTATCGTGCTTGTTCGCATTCGGATGGTGTGTGCGTGTGTGTTAGTGAACGCTGTGCATGTATACATACGCACGGCGAAGATACACCAACACACACACACACACACACACATACACGTACACATTATCACCAGCGACAAACATTTTCGAACTCGAAAAATCACATCGATGGGTAGACAACATAGAATAAAATATGGCGAATTGCGAGCCGATGTCGAATCTAATCGAAAGCGCACCGAGTGCATACATATCGACAGTTTGCCACTCACACACAATCAGCCAGCCACTTCGTGTCTCTCCGGTCTTGTTTGAAACCAATGGCAGCGGGAAAGAGAGAGACAGAGAGCGTGAGCGGGATCGCGCGCGTCACAGCAGCTGCATTATTTTTGTGATAGTCGCTTAAAAAGACTAACGGAGTAAATGTTTCGGTTCATACACTCAATATCATTACCGTTTTGCCATTCCATGGCATATTGGTATGTGCAATGAAGATAGAGAAAAGCAAAAAAAAAATATGAGTGGCAACACGAAGCGTAACCGAAACAGAAACACACATACACTTAGACACAACAGTGTTTCAGAGCCAAAGAGTGTGTTGTGTGTTGTGACCGAATAACAAACGGGCAATCAAATGGCTTTTTCGCACTCATTTCTCACACGCGCGCACACACTCTCTCAATCACATATGATGGTATATATTCGATTGTGATTAGGATTTATTCGACTTCATCCTGCCGAACGACACTTCGGAATCTGGTTTGACTTAGAATGGCAGCTTGAAGGGGCATCCATGGTTGCCAGGCTGCGGGTTTTTCGTTTGGAACAATGAACCGAATGTACATTTTAATTGGATTGAGCCTTTTTTTTTCTCTCCATAAATTGTGACCACTAATCGATCGCACTTTTTTTACAGCCGATTTGACAATACCATTCACTATGAAATTTACAGCGAAAAAGGATCAATTGATTCATATGGTCAATTTGTCGTATAAACAAACCCGTTTGCCGTTGATTAAATATGGAAAACGAGCGAAAAGTAGATTCGAAGCCAATCAAAGTATCACATATTTTTCATGTTTTGTTTATCAGAGATTCGACGACATGTTGATGGCGGTGTCACACGAACCGATGACAAACCAACCAACCAATCAATGCGATCCAAATCTTTGTAATATCATGTTGCTGAATGTTCAACAAAACAAAATCCTTTTTGCTGGTCGTGACAGTGATTTTATTTTTAGCTCTCAATCGAAATGATTCGATGAAGCAGATTGACGAGCGCGCAAATATCGTAAACGTTTCACAAGTAATCGACAAAGCTTCAACAATTATGGCAAAAGTTTTGGGTAATTTAAAGCGCTTCAAACAGATCATAAATTATTGGTTGGAAAAAAAAGTTAACGAATTTAATATTGGTTCGTTTTTTTTTTCTCTGCTGCTGATACATACCTCTAGCTGCGGTACATCCTCAGGGATTTGTGCTTTTGTGCGCGAACGAGTTTGTCGCATTTTCCGAAATTTTCTATTGCATTTATGGTTCGGTTAATTGCTCCCATTCAACGCTCGGTACCACCGAATAATTCGTCCCCGTTTTTTTGTTGCTTCTCTTCAATTGTCCTCTTTGTTTTTGGTTTGGTTTGATGGTTTCTCCTTTCTTGTCTGACGTTGTTGTGTGTGAATTGCTTTCCGTCGTTCAGCCTGTTTATTTTCGATTTGTTTGTTCGCACGGTGTAAACCTCCTTGTTCTATTCAATGTGACGTTGATTTTATTGATGTTTTACCACACAGTCGGTTAGTTTGGGCGCTAACTGTTTTATCCTTTTCTGACTTTTGCGGTCACACAAACACTTTCAATTTTCAATTGCCGATTGTTCGAAAGAAAAAAATGGAAAAAAACTTTTTGTCTTCCTCCCGTTCTCTTGCTGTGGCATTTATTTCACGTACGACTTTGACACACAGAACAAAACAAAAATCTGTTTCAATTTTCCTTCAGATCCAAAATATTAAAAATGTCACTCACACGATATCGAAACAGAGAGATAAAATAAGAGACGTTTTAATTATTCTAAAATTATTTTACACGTTTGCGTAGGCTTCTTCTTAAAGATCCTTTTGTGTTTAGCATTTTTCTTCTATTTTGTTTTTGTGCTTACTCGCTTCACGTTTATTGCCGTGTGTGTATATCTATATTATTTTTTTGTTGCCTTCGGTATTTTTTTTATTTTGTCTTTTTATTTTTTTGCAGTAGCTTTCTCAATTGTCGATTCTCAGTTTATATTCTGTATTTTTTTTTTCATGTGTGCGAAATGCTGCTGTAACTTGGTGCCGACGTTTATGGTGCGCGTTATACGAAATGTGACACAAAGCGAAATCGCTCTGTGCTTGCGATGATTTTCGAAATTCGAATTTTTCAAGTTGGGTTCTATCTAACCATCCCGCTTGCGCTGACCCTTTCATGCGGCCACCGTCACATCGTTGCTTCTCTTTTTTTCGCCCGTTTTCCGTTTCGCCGATTCAAATGGATGTGTTGAGTGGAAAAGCGTAGAATGGCAATGAAATCGAAGTTCAAACGGGAAAATGAGAACGAGAGGACAGAGTCAGAGAGCGAGAGAGAGAGAGAGAGAGAGAGAGAGAGAGAGAGAGACGGAAAGAGAGTGAAGACTTGACGACAAACGAGATGGCAACGGATAAACTTTAAATAATTGATTTTTTTTTATTAAATTACTATGGGTGGTAAATTCACCACACAATATTTATTTTAATCAAATAAATATCCCACTTTTAACTCACGCCACGTTCCCTAATCAAGGGTATCGCTGAGGGGTCACACAAATGTTCAACTCTCCAATATTGCGTTTTTTTCTCTATCTCTTCCACATCGAGTGCGCCCCGATGATCAATTCGAGCCCAAAATGAATATTAGAACAATGGAGAATGATCGATGCAACTTACAAACTCACACACACACACACAAACCCATATACACACTCTATACACACAATGAAACTCTCTTGCGCTCATGTAACATTTTGCATTTTTTTTTGTTTTTTTCATTATTTATTTCTTTTATTTTCTGAACTGTTGCTCATATTCTTTTCTCTTCGAATTTAAATGAATAATTTTAATTTGTAAAAAATACAGCATAACATGACATCGAATATTCAAAGAGAACAAAATGAAACTGAAGAAAGAGATAGAACAAAAGAGAAAAAAAAACAATTTTTCTAATATGATTGCAGTTTTAAAATTGGTTTTTGTAGTATGCTAAACACAATGCTCATAGTTTTCATGTAATATTTCCGCTCCTCTTCTTGACAAGAAAAAGGTCAGCAAATTACAGGTTTCATTAAAACCGCACGGCGCTCTCACTTAAAATCGATAATAGAAAAGAAAAACAAAACAAAACAAAAATTTCTATATGCGATAAATCTAAAAAAAATTATTTTTTCCCTTAGTTTTGATCCGCTTATCTGTTTCTATAGCCGGCTAAACCAAACCATACTTCAATAATATATGAAACTTTTTTGTTTGTTTTGAAATTTTCTTTTTTCAAAAAAAAATTGATGCTCTTAATTTTGCTGAAATTGTCGTGCATGTGCAAAATTGCGCATTTACTGCATCCGGGAACATTTGAATTGAATCCACGTTTTTGTTGTCACATGAAATGTTTACAATTTTCTTCAGCATTTTCAACAGAATGAAAAAAATGAAGAAAAGAAAATTCGGCAAAATAAAAATCACACAATTCCATTAAATAGCGCCGACCCAGGCACTTCTGCAAAATGTTGCGCATTCCACATGTGGTTCAAGTATGGTTTTTTTTCCTTTTCATTTTTGAATGTGAATGTGCAATTTCGTTTTTTTTTTCTGTTATAAAACTTTGTTACGCTTTTTTATATGTATAATAATTATTATATACATTTTACAGTAATCATTTTTTTTACATTGATTCCCAATTTGTTTCAAAACAAATCCATCTCATCACAGTTCATGCTCAGTATATCGTCTTCGTAGGATACAGCTGCATTCGTTGCTCTTTGAAAATCTGCTGTTGAATGGAAAGAAAATCAGAATTAAACACACGGTTCTTTCTAAATGGATCAATTCATTCGCTTACCTTTTTCCGGACTTGTCACATTCACCATGTGTTGAATTGAGTGTGAATCGAAGTCTGAGCTATTTTCGCGATTGCAATCGGTGACCGGAGATGGGGGTGGATTCGAGAGGTTAACATGTGTATCCAAACATAAATGTGATGTGGATGATGCCAACAGATCACTACGTGACCCCAATACTGGCAGCTCATTTTCGTTTTTCAACGATTTTTTCAACTCCTCCACCTCCAGATCACGTTGCAGTGCCTGTGATATTTTGCGATTTTTAATGGTTTTCCGTGTCTCTTCCAGGAAAATGTCCTTTTTCTGCTTTTTGCTGATATCATCGCAATTTTTCAACAGAAACAAAAATACACCGCCAGGTGTTCGACGTCGCATCCCATTCACAATCAACATACCGCCGTCACTTTCGATCTTCTGCGTTTCTTTGAACAGTTTGATTGACAAATCACGACCAAGTATATTTACAACTCGAACTGAGAATTAAAAAATGGGAAATTCAAAATCACGATGTGAACAAATGATATGAAGAAATTAAAAAGGGCTGCCTTACTCATCAATGTATCCTTCTCCTCGTACAATTTATTGGCAATATCTTTAGCGATTTCATCATTGGTTGCCGATGCATCGACCGACAAGTCGAGAATATTTCGGGCCATATTCATGGCACCGCTGCCCTCGTTACCGCTGCTATCATCGCTACGATTGCCCAAACGTAAGCGCACATTTTTTCGGTCTTTTACGCTAAGGCTATTTGCTCGAAAGCGTTTGTTCTTCGATTCAAATGCATTCGATGTGGAGCAATTGAAACCTTTATCCGAGTCATCGCTGTACGATTGGCGACGTTTTAAACTGTTTTCACCGTTCAAACGATACTTCAACGAATAATCATACGATTCACAGTTTCGATCATACCGTCCACTGTCCTGATCGACACCGCATCCCTTTAGGTTTTCCATCACCTCCTCCTGTAGACTGCTCGACCAAATGTTGTATTTGTTATGATGAAAACGTGACGTTTGTGCACCAGGAATTTGAATGCCCTGCAATGGTTTAATTCTGTTCGACAAACGAACACGAGTGCATACACAGAAATCAAACGAAAACCACGTGAATATCATCGTATATGAGACAAACGGGAGTGGGCAATATCTTCTCAATCAAATTTTTCACTTACTTTAGAACCTTTTTCTTGTTTGTTCGATTTCTAGCACTGGAAAAGTCGCAATCACTGCCCGAATCGCTGTCCGATTCGGCCAGAGACTCTTCCAATTCGGATGCATCTTCCATTTTGGTGATTCCACTGGTGCCTAAGGATGATGGTAGTGATGACGCAGTTTCTCGTGTCGATGTCGATGTGTTTGGCCTCTGCAATGGAGTATAACTGTCGTTGCTGTCGGAAAGCTGTGCAAATAAACAACAATTTTCACATGGGTTAAAAAAAACATTTCAATTTTTTTGTGCGGTTTGGATGTTGTCGCATTTTTGCGACACGACCATTCACCTCTCCATCTTCGAATTCATCGTCGTTATACTTTATTGGTTCATGCTCCATTATGTACACCGTGCACACACATTCAACTGGCCAATTAAACGTCCACAGAACACTTTGGCTAATTTCTGTTGATTTCAACAAAAACGAGAAAAAATCGCCCAATTTTCCTTCAAATTTCCCGTGCGTATTAAGTGCTGTGCAAAGTGTTTTAATCGCCGTCGTTCAGTTTTGATCAAAGTAGAAACTATGAAAAAAAAAGTTGTAACACACACAGAATGGCAATGGATTATATATACTATATATGTCAAAAGGCGAAGCGCGATGTCAAAATGAGAAAGTTGCCATAAATTCATCGGGCTCGTATCGGTTGTCTCTGTCGTTCGTACGCATACAGCGCCACTGCACATACGGTTGTCGTTATTATGGTTGCTTGACTCAACCGAACTGTCACACTGTTGACGTTTTGCTCTGCTCCCAATGACAGGCCAAACACAAACACAAAACAAAAAAAAACGAAAACCCTAATGATATAGTCAAAACTGAGAGGATAGTGAGCAAAGCAGAAAATTGAAATTAGCCACATCGGATCGAACAAATTTTTTTTCCGTGTGTTCACCGAGCAATGGATCGGAATAAATCCAATATTTCGCGTCCTAGCAAATCGAAAATTGGCGCACCGCATCATGGAAGTGAAATTTTTGCTTTGGGCTCGAAAACTACAGCATCAACTAGTAATCGAGAAGACAACAAAAGTAAGGTTATGTCATCAACGGATCGAAAACGAGAAGCTTCATCGACGTTGGCCGCAAATGTGACGAAAAAGCCGAAATTAGCCATCAGCAGTGTGACCAGTTCAATACATTCCAGCGGTTTTTCATCGGTATCGAGGAGCACCAGTCATGACGGGCCCAGCGGTATTACATCACAAAGTTTTGAATATTGGGAACAAGTGGCACAGGAATGCGATAGTTCCGAACTGGTGCAGTCTGTGTTAACCGCAATTGATCGCCAGGACAGTGATCAGGTTGTTGCATTATTGTGTGGTGCTATCAAATCGATAACAATGCGACCGAAACTCGAAAATGCACAATCGTTATCACTGCTCTACTTGGCCAAACTGCGACCGAGTATGTTTTGCAATGAAGTTGTCACACAGGCATTGTTATCAATTTTGCGTCGTGACTCAACGCCAACATTTAAAGCGAGAAGCAATCCATCAACACACATTCTGGCTGCCAATTTACTTGCACGCGGCTATCATAATAAAACGCAGTGGCCCGAGAGTTTTGTTCGGTATTACATTGAAGATGCGGTTAATGAGCGTCTATGGGTGGATTTTGATGAATGTTCCGCATTTGTGGAGAATATATGTACGGCTTTTGGCACAAAAACACCACCCAAATCGATGCTTCAACCGGAATTGAATCCGATGGGTTCTATTTCGACAATTTCATCACGTGAGGCAACCGATGAGGATTCAATGGAAGGCAGCATCGCTGGTGCCAGCACCGAGTCGATGAAAACTGCTGAAAATCAAATAATCTGTACGGTTCAGCCGCGTTACGGTCACATGACGGATGTCGTCGAAAAATTGGTCATCGATACGGTAAAGGAACAGTTCAATAGACGTCAAGCACCCGACTGTTTAACACGGAATTTTTTGAAATTTTTGGCTTCGGTCAGTGGTATAACCGATATAAGAGCAATGGCCGTCACACGTTTGGAACTCTGGATGCACAATGGCAAGTTAATGAAACCGGCCCAAGAACTTCTCACCTATATTTGTTTCAATGTGAACAGCAACTCTGTGCGAGACAATGAAGTGTTGGCCAATTTAGTGAAAATGCGCCTGAAGGCAAAGGCTCTGGTCAATGTGTACATGAATTGCATCAAAGAAATGATTATCGTGCAACCGGACATTTTGTTCGTTGTACTGAAGAATGCCGTTCAAAATGAGTTGTCCAATGCTCGAAATCCCAACAACATGGGAATGGGAATGCTGGCGAGCATTTTTCAGACAAAACCCGACGAATCCGCACGTCATTTGGCCGCTATTTACCAAGAGTTTTTATTGCAGCGCGAAGACTGTTTGCGTACCTTGCGCGTATTTTTGCGTGAATTGGTGAAAACATTACGCTACGATATCAAATTAATCGTTTTCTGTGAAGCATTGCTAGGCAGCACTCAGAATTTCATTCAACAAATTGAAAATTTTGAATTTCGAGACCGTATCTTCTATTCAATGATCGACGTGGTGTGTTTGTGTATGTTTCTTTCGGTATCGCCGCAGATTCGCGAAGCAAATGTCTTGTTACGAGCCGGTCGCGAAACAAAGAGCAGTAAAATTTTGATTGAATACTACAAACAAATGTCAAACATACAAAAAGAAGCCATCAAATGGATGTACGACATTGTACCAGCTCTATTCAAACCATCCGAAGCCGAATACACACAATCATTGCATAAAATTCTACTTTTAGATTCGCCCGAACAGTATACGAAAGGTGATCAATGGCCACCGGAACAAGAACGTGCCTTGCTCTTGCGTTTGGTGTCGGAAGTGCCGTTGCATCAAGACACAATCGTTTATTTGTCGTTGATTGGGGCCACAAAGGAAATTCCCGTCAAAATACCCGATGCAATGGAAATCATTGAACAAGTGATTCGACGATCGGCCAGTTTGCGCATCATTGACTATCCCTCTCTGTATGCTGACAAAAAGGAAATTATTGACTTTTTGTTCACGATGGCCGAGTATCATCACCCGGAAAATATCAAATTGCCCAATGATTATGAGCCGCCAAAATTGGCCATCGGCACATTGTACTGGAAGGCATGGAACATTTTGCTGATGCTATCAGCACACAATCCGAGTACATTTGGTGCCTTTTGCTGGGAACGATATCCAATGCTTCGCAATCTAATGGAAATGTCAATTACCAATCAATTTTCCAGCTACAGAGTGCCCGAAGAGGAGCTACAACTCGGTGCGCTAGAAAAAACACAAATTTTGGAATTTGAAACGCACTTGGCAGCCGCAACATCGAAAGTTGTTATCACCGAGCAAAACAGTTTACTGCTATCACAGTTAATTCTGATGGACCCGATGGGTGTGCCGCGCAAACCGCCAGCTCAAGTGTTGGAAATACTGCAAAATCAAAATGCCACTTTGAAATTGGGCCATTTGTTATGCCGCAGCCGAAAGCCAGATTTATTATTGGATATCATACATCGTCAAGGCACATCACAGTCAATGCCATGGCTTGCTGACCTCGTACAAAACAGCGAAGGTGACTTCAATCATCTGCCGGTGCAGTGTTTGTGCGAATTTTTACTGTCAAACTCATCGTCAATGGACAATCATCGCGATTTAGAGCTACTGAAGTACTTGCAAAATCTACTGGCTGATGAAAACCAAGACGTTCAAACATCGTGCGAAGTACTGGAGTATTTTCTCCGTCGGTTGTCTTCACCATCGAAACAAGGCCGCATTAATGCAATCAATGCGCTGCAACTTTTACTGAAAGTATTCCATAAGGAAGACGACGAAAACATTCAAATGCACCAAGATGAATCGAGTTGGCTGTTGCAATTCCTTCCATTGATGCCACACTTTCTGGATGTGCGATCGATTGTTATCGTGCAGCTCAGAGCCGCTTGTCAAATCGAAAACAATGCCGATTTGGTGATGATTTACATTCAATTCATCGCAGCAAACACTTTGGGAGACTCAGTTTTGGGTAATTGCTTTTGCTTTTTCTTGGTTATTTTAAAATTTGAAGTTAAAACTCCATGGATTTTTATTTAAAAAAAATTTCATTCAAGTTTCAATTACTTGAAAGAGTGAACTCCTTCGAAAATAATGAAAATTACTCAAGAAAATCAAAACCATATTATTTTCTCCACAGAAATGCTTGACCACGTGATGGATTTGAGCCAGTTGATTGTCGAACGGAACACATTGTTCTCATGCATTGTGCCAACTGTAAAACATGATGACAATCGTTTACAAACGTTGAACTGTTTATATGTCATGTTCAATAATTACTTGATCAAACTGAAGGATTTCAAGGAGACCGAAGAGTTGAACAAATATGCTGAGCTTGTAATGGTGAGTAATTTGAATCAGACGAATAATAAAAAATTTGAATAAAATAATTTAAAAAAAAAAAATGAAAATAATCTGTTTCGGCTCAAAGGTTAAATTCCACAATGATGATATGCAGCCGATTCACATGATAATAATCCATGCGTTCGTCATTCTGTTGACATATGCAACAATGATTCCGAATGCAACGCCATACTTGGACTACTGGTTCCCACAAAATGCTCCGCTTCCGCATGCATTTTTCCCGGAAACCGATGAGCCAGCTCCCATTTTTCCCGATTGGCTGAAATTGAAAATGATTCGCAGTTCAGTTGATCGTTTGGTCGATGCCGCTTTGAAAGATTCGTCACCGCAACAAATTGTGTTGTTCATCCAGAGTTTCGGAACGCCAATTAATACCATGTCAAAGCTACTTGCCTTGCTTGACAAGGCTGTTATCGAAAATGCGGATGCCGTGAAAGAAGTTATTGGCGATACAGGCTATTTCGCACAAGTCGTTGAAGTTCAGCAGGCTCGTGGTGCTAAACATGGTAGATTCGCAATCGAAACATTGCAGTTGGACGAAAAAGTCCAGCCAGATCCACCAAAACGAGACATCATTGTAACCGAACAACTGGATATACCATCATGCAAACCCCAGCCACAAGCTAATTCATCACAATCGAAAGAAATCGATGAAGTGATCGATTTGGTATTGCACAGTGAAACATTACCACATTCACTGTTACTTCGATTCCGTCGCCTGATTCAACAATTACTCACCACAGATGGTCAACATCATTTGGCCAAACAGCAACAAAACACCGTTTCAAAGGTGGTACAGTATCTGTCACGCAACGCTAAATCACAATATGGACAAACCTTTTATCAGCGCATCCTACAGAGTTCAGCGGTTTGCTCGTTCTTCCGGACATTGTTTGTGTCTGTGCAAGAAAAGTCATCCAACCACAATTACTTGGCTGGCATCAATGATCATGCCATGGAATTCATGATCTCCGACAATTGTCCCATCATTTTCCAAATGATTTTTAACAAAGGTATGAAAAAACAAGAACAAAGTCGAATGAACATTTTTGTTTATTTATTTTCATTTGAATCTTTTTCATTTTTCCACAGTCAAAAACTACATAAAAGTCGACAAGGACACAAAGTTTGCGGTGGAAAATCAGGATTTAGTGCAAGTACTTCAGATGAGCACAATGACTGAGCTACAAACAAAGGGCAATCACCTATTGAACGAATTGATAAAAAATAATACGAATTCAGAAGAGTTGGTGGATGTGATTACGACCACGTTGAAAAATTCACGAATTATAAAAACCGAAGATGCATCGGAATTGAATAAAAATGGGCTGTTAATCGATTGGCTGGCTGACATCGATTCAGAATTGATAATTTCAACCAAGAATAGCCTTGATGTGATGTTCAATCGGTCATTGCCGCAGTTTCGATTTTATTTGCTGTCACTGTTGAGCCATCAAGCCAGTTGGTCAACGTTGCGCAGTACATTGGTTAAATTACTTGCTACGTACCAACCTGATTTTGATTCAACATCCGTGATACACTTCATTGCCGCCCTCATTCATAATCCAAAACTGTGGCAAGGTCGCGAGAAAAATACATCAAAACATTATCGAATCGAGTATGTTCTGCTGTTGAACGATAAACAACTGAAGGTGTTTACCGACTACATTCTGAGCGAGGAGAATCTCGATGCGGAGAAATTGAGTTCACGCGTTAGTACGCTATTGCAATGCATTCCACCTGAATTGCTCGACCTCAAAGAGTTGGTGTCATACGTGCGTAACGATTCAACCGTTGGCAGCGAAACATTGAGACGTCAATTTTTGCAGCAGCTTTACTTGAATATACCGCCAATGAAATTCACCGTGCTTGATTTGGACGAAATTTATCTGGCAAATGCCGTTAAGCTCACAAATTGTGAAACCGATAAGGTCACAAATAACATAATGACCGCAATGTCATCGTTAACAACACCAAGGGATTTCCAGGCAATGTCACAACACATGGAGCTGCTGCTACGGAAATTGGCCGCATCACATCCATCGTTGGTTTTACGACAAATTTCCATGATGGCATCACTGTTGCAAGGGCGTGCCCATATGGATTTGCACGTTCTACGATCCAATTACCATATTCCGTTGTTCATTCAAGTGTTTGGCATTTTGGAACTGTTGCAGCCGCTTATTTTCGAACAAAACTACAGAACATCATTGCATTCAGCGCTCGAATGCTACTTTAGTCTATTCCAAAATCATGGCACCACAAAAGACACCTTTGATTTAATGTACCGTTTCATGGAATTCCTGCACATTTACACGCAAAAAGATTCGGCAAACGCATGGAAATTCATCGAACCACATACGGATTTGATTGAAGATTTGGCCGCCGACAATCGCATGATAATACCACTTCAACAGTTGGTCCAAGGCGTGTCGTTGATCAAGTATAAACAGAATAAACGCAATGACAACAATAATGACAATGCATCAGCCACACAGGAGAATACCGGTGCATCGGCAATCATTCTAACGCCATACACGAAAACGCTTAATCAAACACTTACAAAATTGCTGATTGAAATTCAGCATCGTTCCAATGACGAAGTGCTGAGTCCGCTACAGGAATTGGAGATCATCACAACAAAACGTCAAGTGCCCTTAGAATCGATACACGAACGACTTTTGACACTGATTTCATCGTCAACGGTTAGCATCCGGCAATCAGCCTATTTACTATTAATTCGCCATCTAAAATCGAATCCGGGTAATTTAGCGGTGAATGCAAACACCCTTGCCGTGTACGTGCAATGTCTACGTCAAAAAGATACCGGTGTCGTCATATCGGCGTTGCAATTTCTAACCGAAATGGTGTGCTGTCTGCAGGAGTATTCATCGGAGATACTGCGCAATGCCTTCGAAATGGGCATCAAATCGAAAATCAACACATTCGAACATATCCGAAAATGTATACTCGCACTGAAGACACAGCATGCGAGCTAAACAACCATTTCCTTCTGTTTTAGTTAAGCGACAATTTTCACAAACAACAACAACATCAAACTTCTTCTCGGAACAAACATCATTTATTTTTTTTTTTTATTGATTTAGTTTTTTCTAATGTCTAAGTTTAAATGTAATTACAAACATTTGTATCGAAGAAAAAAAATAACAACAACAAGAACATCATCATGGAATGGACTAGAATAATATAGAAATTTTAAATAAAACTGAAGAATATTAGATAAGAATCTAAAGCATTACATATTTTCAGATTATGATTAGTAATATTTTTGTAAAAAAAAAACAAATGACAACAACCAAACGAATCCAATCAAATTCGCAAATAAAAAAGATTGAACAATTCTAAACGATTTCGCGTAATTTCCCATTTCATTTGCAAAAGGGTGGGTTGTCGGATAATGATTTTCAATTTTTAATGACAGAAAATCGATTAAGCAACAAATTGAACTTTAGCTGGAATTTCATTTAGAATGGAAACGAGAAGAAAATGAAAAAGGGAAAAACAAAATGCGGCTAATGAATAAAACGTGTAAGTAGAAAAATGGCAACAAAGTCAATATTCAATAATATATACTGCAAACATTAAGTTCGTCACTTGAGTGTTGTCTTTTGTCAAGGTAAATCACACAACAATCACGTTTATCGCATTTATATTGGCCAATCATTTTGGCGATGATTCAAGCGAATTTACAAACGATAACAAAATAGCGTGATAAACATCTATAAATAATGCTTGGTTCATCGAATTGATAAAATACGATAAAAAAAATGGAAGGTTTCATTCAGAACGTCGCATCGACTTATTTTTTCTGTTGACAAGTTTTGGTTTGCGGACAAAATGCATCAATATAAACCACAGAAAAGCGAAAGAAATGTCACATCTATGCTCACAATCAGAACAATCATCGGGAAGGAGAAAAAAACAAACGTTGCCATTTAAAAATGAAGATAATGTCGTTATGGAATATTGTTCAAGACCATCGAAGCTTAAAATAGCATCCGTAACAATTTCCTTCACCGATTCGCGTGAACCATATCTGTCAAAGTCATACAGATGACAGAAAATTTACATTTACGACCCATAAAATCCAAGTATTCAATCTTATCGGTTGCACGGTTTGATTGGATGTATTTGTCAAATTGCAGACGGGCGTATTTTTCTGTTGTATACGTCTCAATTCCTTTCTTCAGCATTGTCAAACGATGTGCGATGTAAGACCCCCAATTTTCACCTTTTGGCGATGGCATCCGTTGATAGCGTTCACGGTCATGCTGTTCTTCGGCCACAAATCGCCTTGTCCATCGCTTTGCCTTCCTATCCCGAACACCCTGCCTGGCCAGATAATGGTACCTCTTCGAGCTGACCGTGAAGTTGATCTGTGGGAAAATGATAAAAAATGAAATAATGCACTCAATCACACGATTTGAGACAACACAAACACAAATTGAAACTAAAATGCAACTCACCTCTTTGCCAGTTTTGATATTCCGTCTGACTGTCGCGTTCCAGGTACGCATGCCGGGATCAATCCCAATCTCGTATACGTACACACCATCACGATACCGTTTCCGCACGATTTCATCGTCTACTAAACGATCCAGGTGACTCTTCGGTACTTCGTACATAATGGATACCGCTTGACCATTCGAGGCAATGTAGGGCCGGAAACGTTTGTTTGATTTCAACAGGCGATGTATCTTTGGCATATCGAAAATCTCATCCCAACACTGCGTCATGGGGTCCTCCACAATTTCGTACTTGATTATTAGACCATGTAATCTGAATCGCATTTCGGACATCATTCGAATGAGAACGTCCGTCTCCATTTTCACGTGCTGTCGCATGAACTGATGAATCGGAATGACTTTGAGATTTTTGATCTTCGGAATTTCAATGCCATTTTCCTCAGCCCAAATGTGGAAATTGTCCACCTCCATTTGCATAGTCAACCACATGTTGATTGATTTGAACCATGTTCCTTCCGATGTTGTGTATATTGCGACATCATTATCTTCTGGCCCGCCAATTTCCGCAATCATATCGAGAAGCAATTGGCGCTTCTCCCACTTTACTTCCCAATGTCGGTCGGTTGTTTTGATGGGATCATACCGATCGATGGTCCATTGCACGGCACGCTTGATATCATCGTTGCGTAATGTGGGGCCAGTTGAAACAGCGTTAAATTGCCACGCACGCATTATGAGATATTGGTACAGGCGTCTTTCGGCATGCATCTCCAAATTGTTGCGCAAATTCGTGGTGTATTGCTTGTAGAGGTATTGCATCTGGTTTCCGAAGAAGCTATTACCCGGCCAACTGAATCGGTTTTCGGCCTCCATATTCTCCACGAAATCACGAAAATCTGGAACCATTTCTTCCTTCTCTTTGTTTTTTTGTAAAACTGCATAAAAACAATCCTTAATTTCCTTGTTGCCATCACCACTGAAGAAGTCCGCATTATTACTTTCGTTGGCACTCTTAACTTTGTACAGGAAGAGCAGCGAAGCTAACGCGCAGATTTTGGTGCATTCAATCGACTTTTGGGTGAACCAATCTTTCACTTGTTGATAATATTGTGGTCGAACGATAGCCTTCAATGTCATTTTTATCGCTAGAATGCCGATTTCTCCTTCAATACCCGTTTTGCTGACTATTTTCTTCTTTTTCCGCTGGTTACCGCGAAGTGGTGTACCCTTTCTCTTCGGCATTTTGGCTGAAATGAAATCAAAAAAAGAAGAAAAAAACAACAAAAAACAATTATAGAAAATATGAAAAAGATATATCCACTTGAAAATGCAATTCAGAAAAGAAAAAAACAATTGAAAACACCGAAGAAACAGAAAGAGAAATTGTAATTTGAAAAGTGTATCAAAGTCACGTCTTACATCAGCAGGCAATGCAACTCGTCTGACTGAATTCGATTCGCTTCGTTGTGTTTCGTTGCGGTCGTATGATGAAATTCACATCGACTCATCGATGTCACCGAGTCTGTCAAATGATCCGCTAATTTCGTTGTGTCAAAATGTTAGCAGTGCCACTTTGCAAATGTCCAGTTAGTTTTGTATCACAACGGTAACATGAACAAAATTCGCCGCAAACATGTCTTTGCTTTTTTAGCACACAAAATCGTCCCATTGTATACACTCACTGTCTTACGGTGGAAAAAGAACAAACGATTATCACTAGTTTTGCTGATCTTTCATTAAAAATGAATACGGAAACAGAAACCACAGTGGCTAAATCCATTTTTCGTGCAATCGACACAGTAGCAGCGTTAAAACTGTGAACTGCCATTGTTCCTTGCCAAAACAACACATTGAATTCATACTGTGGTCAACTGAATCACATCTGTGTTTTGGTGTTTCGCATGGAATTTTTTTTTCGTGAAACGGTTTATTGTATGTGTTTGCAACGAACCGGCGGCATCGTGTTCGTCCTAAATATAGAATGTACGCATGCAGCACAACGCTGGACTGGAAAAATAAACAAATAATATGTTCGTTCCGTTGAACATTTGTTTATTTCATGAAATGAAGCGTATATTAGGAATGAGTTGACTTCCTGTTCGATGATCTGAATTTAAAGAATTGATGTGAAACTAACATCGACGAAATGGAGATGAAAGTATTTGTTACACATATTTTTTGCTTCGGGAAGTGTGAATAGCAATCGATGTGTTGTGTTAATGTCATCAATGTACGCAGAATTCGGTGCTCTTTATATCAAAAATAGGCACTTTTCATTCGACTGATATCAAAAACACCCTAATGCTCACACATTTTGTCGCAAATATTGTGTGTCGAGCGATAAAAGAAAAACAGGAAGTTTTGCTAAAATACTCCGAACACGCGCATTCTCACTGGGTGGTGATTTTTTCTTCTATTTTTTATGCCAATACATAATCAATCTGGCGAATGGCGTGCATAAAATTGATTACATAGAGCAAAAACTCGATCCGAGCAAAGCCGTAGCATTGGAATTTTCTCGACTCGAGAATATTTTTGCGCCAACGATACGATCCATGCCGAAAATAAAATAGAAGAATAAAAAAAAAACAAAACAAATAACAAATCGTTGCCGAACTTTGAAAACGAGGTTATTAATGGGTAATTCCGAATCACACAGAATACATACCAAATAACTAGCATTAAAAAATTAGCAAAATTTTTGTTTTTGCGCAAAACGCATGTATAGCAATTACGTGTAGAACAATAGAATTTCTCATAATGTTTCATCGCCATTTGTTGTAGGCACCGGAACAACGCTATCTTACAAAGTAACGAATAAACTAAGCACAGAATGTGTATGCTAGAATCGGTGTTGATGCCAAGCTATTACAAGATGCAGCAAATGCGATAGGAACTCTTTGAATGTTGAGAAATGCATGAAATTTCATGTGCATGCAACATGAACACCGAAACTCTGCTCGTCGAATGACAAATTAACTGTACACACTATCACTGCCACCCGAACGCCCAATAAATCACTCACGTGCATAACTCAATGAAAGATGATTCAATTAGAATGGTATTAAATTTGCCCAGCATTGCACGCCTAATTTATGATTGAATGTTTTCACTAAATTTTCTCTTGCTCTCCCTCTCACTCTCATCACATTTCCGAACCGTTGTAATGATTACTCACCAAATTACTATTTTTTTTTTGTTTCTGTTGCAAACGAGCAGCAATGCTTTTCGTTGAATTACAAATACTTGAATTCTAATTAGGCAAAAGTTCCGCAATGCTTTGCCGGAGCTCTATGATGTGAAATTTTGCGCTGTATATTACGCGGCACGATCGTGTGCCAACAGGATATTTTTGTGTGTGTGTATATATACTTTGTTCTGTCGTAAGTGTATCAAAACAGGAAATAATGCTAATTTTATTGTTTTGTTCCGTTATGTGCATGCATTTTTCGCGCTGAGATTTCCAGTTGAAATGCTATCTATTTCATTTTTTGTCAGTTGCTGTTGTTCGTTTCATTTCAAAACTCATTCATTAAGATTCTAATTAAATTAAATAATACACGGAAATTCACTGGAATTACGTGGATAAAATTAATTGGATTTGAGGTTGAACGAATGAAAAATAGATACTATTTTTGCCAAAAAAAAGGTTAACAACAGCAACAACAATGCACCGAACTTTCCAAGATCATCAGCTCGCCAACTATTTTATGCTTGGAAGTAGATGTTTTGCGCTGATCGCGATTGTTTTCCTCTTGTTTTAGCTCTATTCTCTTGCTTTTTGATGTTAAAAAAGTAAACAGTAATTAAATGGACGATAACAGTCCTCGAATGGATGATTATTATGGCGTACGTGATTGAATTGGTTACAACATCGGAATATATTGACGAATTCCGAAAAATCATTCGTTGTCGTCGTCGTCGTCGCCGTAACCAATTCTTAAAATGGTTTGTTTAGATTTTTTTAGCTGTGTTTCTTGTCCGAAAACACTTTTGCGTTTGACGTCATCGGTGCTTCTTTGGCTATTTCATGTTGACGCTCTATTTTTTGGCAATAAACAAGATGCGGCATCTTGAATGAGAAGAATAACAAAATGACAAATAAATAAAGCATACACACTCAGAACCTCGATGACCATTGTACGATGCCATTAAACAATTTCACAATCAAATTGTGATGGGCGAAAAAAAAGGTGTACAATGTCAACTCCATTTAGAAATAGACAAAACCGTTAGCACAGAGTGTTGTTCAGTTTGACAAAGCACGGTTTGGACTTTGGATTTTCTGCTCAAGTAACCATTTAGACGTACATAGCATGAATGACATGCAGTTTTTTTTTCCTCTTCTTGCAGATATTCTATTGAATAAAAAAAACATTTTAATTTCTTTCGATATCTTGCCAACTCATTTGCATAAATGAGTGTTTCACCAGGCAGAAGAGAGCGACCACAAAAAATTCGATTGAAACCTGAAGACGTCAATCGAAAAACACACTTTCCCCTAATCACTCGATAAATTTCACCAATCACTCTCATCTTATCTTTCTCTGCTCTTCGATCAAATGTTAATGGTCCACACGATTTAATGGTATGGTCTTTGTCAAAGCCGCCGACAACAAGTAAATGGGAACAAAATTGGTTTTTCCGCTTATGAAATTGGCCGGGCGGTTAAACTTGTCATCACACCGAATCAGATGATTGCAAGTGTTTTGTTCCGACAAACGTTCTCCATTCAGAATTGCTGCTGTGATTTGCTGAGTTGTCGAGATCGTCAAGAGATGTATGTATTGTTATTGTTATTGTAAAGCGGTCAAGTAACTTCGTTTTAATTGTAGTGTATCGTTTCATTTCTACGAACGACAACATTTTTTTTTATATTTAAATTACACTCGGGGCTCTTTTGTCTAATTGAGCTGATTCCGAAGCGGAAGGTTTGCAAGTCAAAGTTTGCGGCGGCAACGGCAGCAGCAGCTGTAGCTCACGTTCAGCATATTCAATGGAAAACAAATTTACGTCATTTGAATGATCGAAGTGATAGTAACAAACAAGCATCTATACATATACACGAAAATGACGAACAGCAAGAAAAAAAAACTGGTTAATACGGTTGCTTGTTGTGGCCATCTTGATATGGATTTCGTAGAAAAAGACGCATTCGATATTGTTTTGTTGATTTTAATTTATTTTTCTTGCAAAAATAGCGAACGATTAATCTTATAACAATAAATATAAACCAGGCGTTTTTCAATCCACTTGAACGGACATTCCCTTTGACGCACTTCAATTGGCTTTGTATGAGCGCACCGCGCCGCTGACGTTTGAATTTGGTATTTGGGGCCGGTTCGTTGGGTTCTCAATTCCATCGGCTTATGGAATTATTTACAATTCGATGAAATCCATTTTCATGTGTATGAAATCAACGACACAATAAAAAAAAAGAACAAAAACAATAATAAATGATTCGAATAATTATTACGGCTATTATCATTTTTATTTTAATATGTTGCACAGAAAAATATAGTGACAAAGGATTCATGCATAATTTATGAGCAATGGTCTTGTGTGCATTGCATCAATGAGCCCATGGTAATTAGCTGCATTCAGTTTCAGTTTCAAATACAATATAGATTGAACAAGTAGCGGTTACTTATTATAAATATTACGATAATCCAATTAGAGACGAGATAAACCGGTGTCGAATAAGCCACAGCTCACACTTACCAGACACGGATTATAGGCATTGATTTTTTTTTCGATTGCGGTATGCATACCGCGTTTAGTGATGCTGATGTGCATGCGCACGCCGCACGTAATATTCCAGTGTGGTTTTGTTTCCTTAAAATTGTAAATTAAGCGCTGACCCGTCAAAAACGGAAAAAAACACATACATTATGACATCCTTGACTTTGACTGAAATCAGTGTTACACGTGAAATATCAGGCTGCATCGTGTTTGAAAACGCGCTCTCGCGCCACAAGCAATGCCGTAAATTGCAATTTGATAATTAGAGAGCTGAAGATGGCAATAATTTAATTGCTTTACGTGCCAAATGGCGTAATTTTCGATCGCACAAATCGCCGTAATAATCATTTGTTTTTCTCTGCTTCTTTTCGATTTGATTGTTTTGTGTCGTTGGAAAATAATTAAAGAGGGAGAGAGCGAAAAAGATAAAAATAAATGCAAATGCAAAAATATTGTGCAATTAGATTTGTTCAATATTCACGTTTCTTCTTACTTGGCAATCATTTATTATATTGTAAGTAGAATAATTGCAACAAAATCGAATGCGAGTAGAGCCGTGCGCACTGGTAGTAGTAGTCAATGGGCTGTGAAACAAAAAATTTGAATATAGTCGTAGTCGTAATCGTAAGTAATCATACAGTCGTTTTTATTGGAACTAAGGAACGAGATCAATGTTATATCAATGATTTTATGATGTGTTTTCCTTCATTCAATTCAAACAAAAAACAAATTCGAATCGTCTATGAACTTCCGGTGAAATAGAAAAAGTATTGAATGCCCGTCCCTGACGTTGTCGTCGTCGTCGTCAACACAAATCACTTTTCCGCAGAAGCATAAAATAACCCACAAACCGATTTTGAGGTTGTCAACATTTTTATGACAATAAATTTTACGAATAAATTATGCCGGTGACATAGAGAGCGAGATAAAAAGGGAGAGCAAAAAGAAGAGAAAAAAAAGCAGTCCAATTCGTATAAATAACAAATGTGATCTGTCAAGGGTCGAATGAAAAAACTCATCGAAAATGCAAGCAAAAATCAATGTCTTGTGAGTCGTAAAACGTGGACTTAGCTCTGCAATTGCAGCCGGATCAATGTTTTTTTTACTACTTTTTGGATAATACGTGCGAAATTACACGCGATAACGTGTTAAACGCACTTTTCAGATTTGTTTTTTTCGTTTGTCTTCGGATTTTCCCAAGAACAAGATTTCATAATATCATGCTATTTTGAACGAACCGAAATAAAAAGTCTTCACATGGTCACTGCTGTTTACATGACGACCAAGAAAAAAGAGTTCTCATAAACAAAAATGGAGAATGCCAGCAACTTGTTTATCAAGTCTATACAAAACGGCTGATTGGTCTATCTCTAGCCTCAAATTTATTTATTTTTTCCCACGTTTGAAGTTGCCGTTTTATTTTCTGCATAAACTCACACATCATCAGTATAAAACATAGAACATCGGTGAAGGAAATGTGAAAGAAAAGAAAGAATAGGGCCGGTTTGAATTCGGTTGTCGAGTTACAGATAGCGAGAGTAAAATGTGTGCATATATACAAATTGGATTTTTTTTTAGAAATTTTCTCATTTCAATAATCATTCCTAAGAATTATGCTGTTGGCCAATCTAAATTTAGCACACTTTTATAATGTCAAATTGATTACATATAAACGCAGTGAAAAATTGTAGAGCGCCATCGATCAATGACGGCAAAACTTGAGTTCACATTTTTGCGCTCTCAAACTCATTTGAGATTTTCAGCCTTACAGAATGCTATTTAGAACGAAACTTACTGAAAATATTAAAGAATAAATTCAAATAGAACATTTAATTATTTAATTTGTTGTCAATCAATATTGATTTTTAGTAAATTTCGTTGAAAAACGGCAAAATTGATGGAAGAAAAAGAAATTTAGTTTATATTGATGAAATGACTTTTTTTATACTCGATCTTATTGAATCCTATTTTTTTTCGGTTAGTAGAATTTTCATTTGTATTTGGAAATTTAAAAAAAAAACATTCAATATCACTCATTTTCAAGCATTGATGCAATATACGGATTTGACATTTGTGTTGTAATCGTTGCGTTTGACAGCAATCGGTTTGACAACTGTTCGGGCTAAACATGGTTACTTACCTAGAAACCCATAAAACGGCCTAAATGAACTAAAACAAAATAAGGTACAATGAAACGCAGCGGAGTAATGTTTTGTGTGTGTTTATTCGGCCAAGCCGTGTCTTATTCTGGTGATACATTTTAAACTTAAAACTAGCCGGACGATGCGTCGCATCGCTTCGTTTTGGTAGTGACGTCAGACACATCGCTCGGCCTGTGCCAATACCTTGCCTTTTATGGTATTGGCAGCGATGTGTCTGAACAACAACCATTGATACTAATGTCGATATGAAATTCACATGCTGCACCAAACGAATTTGCCGAGAACTTGATTAGTTCCACAAAACATTTTTGAAGAATAAAATCGATTGTAACAAACAAAAAATTGCAAAAGATCAGAATATTTTTTATAGATGGAGATCCAGAATATTTTTTTTCGGGAAAATTTACCGGTGCAGTCTGTTAGTTTGGTTATGTTAAGCGGTGTTGAATGGCATCGAATGGCATCGAATGGCATTTTACATTGCAATTTAATTGGAGTGACAGAATGACGTGTAAAAGGCATATATGCCAAAATTATATTCTTCAAATTACAATTAAAGCACTCCAATTAAAATGCAATGTGAAATGTCGGTCAATGCTATTTAAGCCATTCAATACCGCTTAACATAACCAAACTAACGGGCTGCACCGGCAGATTTTTCCGAGAAAAAAAATGTTTGTGGAACTTGATTAGTTCCAACAAACAAAAAATTATCCATTCGATGTTTTTTTTTTCATTTTTATAACTCAAATTTTCAATTGAATACAAAAAAAATCTCACCGGCATGAGACGACTTTCATATGAGACAACAGTAGAGCACCGAATGTCAAATCCATACGCTGCCAACTTCATGTCATTGACAAATATGAAAAGTTAACAGCGCATAGAACTGTCCGCTATTTGACACAGGCGCTCTACTGTTGCTCAGTTTCAGAAAATTACTGTGCGAAATTTGGAATTTCATATAATCCACAAATCACGCGACACGTCATTTGCTTCTTCTTCTTCTTCTTTTTTTTATGTTTATTATCTTTTCCTTTTGAGCATTAAATGAATTAATTGCTGATTTGTGTTGACTTGTTCTTATCGTAAGTATCATTCTTTCCCGTTTCGGCTATCTCATTCGTTGAGATCAATTGAATTGAATCTGTCCATAAGATTACACACCATACACACGGGAAAAAAACAATAACACATCATCGCAAGAGTTGAGTCGTCAGCGGCATGCCAATTTTTATTTCTTTTTATTTTGCTTCTCTCTGCTTCTTTGAGTCCATCTCGCTCTTGCGTTCATTCTCGGCATTTAGCAATGTGTTTGTGTTTGTTTTCGATGATTGTGCTTACGTATTCTCTCGTGTCCGAGTAGATCGTGCGTGAAACACGGTGGTCGTTGCGGTCGCCGTTGTCGCCGTCGCACTGTTAACACAACACTATTTCGACACACTCTCAGTACAAATTGGCGATTGACTAAAAACTTGTATAAAAGCACCGATCAACAGACGTTTATCATCAGTTCATTCCCAAGCGAATCCGAGGTAACAAGTTATCCAGCAGATTAGCACACACCGATTTGTTTTGCGTAGTTTTTTTTCTTTCGATAAACGAAAACATCCTAAATTTTTTTCTTCAAATTTAGTTTAATCCATTATCACCTAATCACGGTGAGTGTCCATCAATTTTTACTACACGCACACACAAAAAAATTCATTGTTTTTTATGTTTTGTTATTTGATTTGGTTTTTTTTATTGAAAAGATTAGTTGTTTTTTTTTCTTCGTTTTCGATTCGGCGATCGGTTCTTCGTAAACAATTTGCTCATACTTTGCAAAATCAGGTCGATTCTTTTAGTTTTTGCGCGCGCGCCGGTGCAGTTTTGCAAAAGTTGTTTGAAATTGATTGCAGTGAGCGCGTCAAGTAGTTGTTCATTTTGGTATTAAGTTATAAATCTGTGTGCCATTATATAATTTGACATTTTTTCACACCTAATCGGGTGCGTTTGTTTAAGCCGAAGCCGACAGATATCAAGTATATCGATCGATCGATTTGTACACGGTGTATCGCAAAAATTATGTGTCAAAATCCGAGCAAATACACACCACTTTGCTTCCACCAATTCAGAATTTTATCGATTGAACTAGTTTTGCAGTTTGCTAGAAAATTTTTAAACGATTTAAAGCAATTAAACATTGATTAATCGGCTTAAACCGAAAATAATTAAAATATCAATAGATTTTGTTGCTGTTGTTTTTTGTATCGTGCGATATTGTGAGAGTCGAGTAATAAGGCGAGAGAGATAGATCAAGATAGAAAAAAAACCCACGTTGATTTTATTCAATGAACTGATTTTTTCAATCAACGGGTAGCTTTAGTTCGGCAGCGATCTGCGTGTGTATCATTTTCGAGATTGTATAAATTAGCGTTAATTCCTTATTTAAATGCAAATAGAGAATTTATTTTCAAACGAGCAAAAAAACCCAAATCGTTTCCGAGAAATGTTACAGAATGCAAATACTGTGACATAATGATAATTTAGTATCGAATGGCACCGTTGGCATTTCTTTTTTCGCAATGATTCGATATATATTGGATGCATTGCCAATGGAGAGTCCTCATTGTGGACATATATACACAGAGAGGCAGATAGAGATGGACCAGGATAAACAGCTGTTGATCGCGCTGTCATTCAAAATCAAATATCATTCTTTCATTGAATTTTATGATATTAGAATTTGAATTGCTATTATCAAGGCTATATTCGCTGCGATGGAAATTCCAATGAAATTTATTAAATTGTTTTTTCTCGTGCGCGCGCTAAAATAAAACTACTTCCCATCTGAATCTTCTATATTCAAGGTGCTTGGTCATTTGTTGTTACAATTTCTCGTCGTTGTTGCCATTTTTCTTCTTCTTCTCAATCTACGAGGTCAGTCTGAGTTGCTCCTTTTCACTTTTATTTTTATCGTGCAACAATGTTCCACTCGAATAACGTGTTATTTTTATCAACAACAACAGCAACATCAACAAAAAGAGACACGAGAGAATCATGCTAATTCCAATCATTTTCATTGTTTGCCGAAATGACATGTACATTTAAACGTCACCATGAGTAATATGCTGATATGCAACCGATTCAGTCAAATCCATGTGTTCTTCTTGGTCTTGGTTCTCCATTGAAAATTTTACGATGTCGTAAGAGAGATGCATTTATGCTGCTGCTGCTGCTGCTGTTGTGCTATTATTGCACATTGCTTGTGTTTTACACGAGAAATGTACCTGTCTACCTTAATTGGAATCAGATAATAATTACAAGTTGCACAAAAGAGCGCAATAAATGCATACTGAAGGACATTTGTTCATTGTGAATTGCGATGCGCTTATTGAATTATTCGTATGTGATTTCGTTGAATCATGTTGCATACATTGTTGATACAGCCGGGCCGAATGTTGAGCTTTCCTCTCTTTCTCTCTGTCTCTAGCATAGAATACAACTAGCCAAATCAAATAAGACATCGAATCGAAGTATATTTAGTTATTCAACTGGTCTGTTGTTGGTCAGTTGTCAAGAGGCCAAGATTGTGTGTGTGTGTGTGTGTGTGTGTGTGTTTTTTTTATTCATATTTCATTGGAGTCATTGTACTGTGTCGTTTGAGTGTGTCACTAATAAACGGTGTGTTTTTTTTGTGTCTCTGTCTATTTCCAGATGAAATACGTTTTGATTGCTATCTTGGTGACATTGGCTGTCGTTGCCGCTCGCCCAGAGACCTACACATCACGTTTCGATAACATCGATGTTGACCGAATTTTGAATACAAAACGTTTGTTCGATAGCTACTTCAAATGTTTGATGGATCAAGGAAAGTGCACACCAGACGGCAAAGAATTGAAAAAATTATTGCCTGATGCATTGCAAACCAACTGCGAAAAATGTACACCAAAACAACGTGACGGTACCGATCGTGTGCTCCGATTCATCGTCAAGAACAAGCCAGCCGAATGGGAGCAATTGAAAGCAAAATACGATCCACAAAACATCTACATCCAAAAATACCGTGAATCAGCTGCTACCCGTGGTATCGAAATCTAAACATCGCAACTAAATGCTGATCCACATTAAAGCGCACATCACACAAACAGAGACAGGAGCATAACGTTTGGATTGGTGCAAATATTTTGGACTCTTCGGATCAGAGGATTCTATTTCAATTTGTGCTAAATTTCTATGTTTATATTTTATCGTCCCGTTAATTATTAATGTTTATGTATGATTATGTGATTTATAGCGACAAGCAAGGTTATACTCTCTACGAAACTAATTTAAATAAAAATTGATATTACACCAAAACAACAACAACCAACGAATTCATTATCGACCGGTGATTATGTAATTTCCTCAA